ACTGATCCATGAGAATGCATCTTACATCATGGACACTGGAATTTGCATTTCTTGGCCAAAATTGAGTATGTTTGTGAACCAATTGCCTTCTACTCTGTTACATGATATGCCATCACAACATATGGTAAGAATATGTCCTAGTTGGTTTGGGATTAATACACATTACCAGCATATGCTTGATAGTCTGTAGTTTTTATTCTGTCAAACTACCAAAACTGGAGAGATGGTAATTACATATCCTACTCCTTGCTGCACCTGCAACAACACTCCTACTATTCCACTATCAGTGGCATCCGTATCCATCAGGAATGGAGAGTCTTGTATTGGTTATACTGACACCAGAGCTTCTACTAAAATACACTTTAGTGATAGAAATACATAGTCAAAGTTTTCCAGTCTATCTAAAATATGTTTCAGCTTTAGTCAGAACATAAATGGTGCAGTGGTTGTGGAGAAATTGGCAAGAAAACATTGTAAATACAATGCAAAACCAAGGAAAATTGCAGATCTTTCGTTTTATTGAGAGATGGGACCAATCTCTGACCAGTGAATGGTCCATCAAGACTCTGCCCCTTCCCACAATATGACTGGGTAACTCCACCTATGTACATATAAGTGCATATTTCGCTAGTTTCAATTTCAAACCTGCATTTCTTATCTGCTGGAAAATCATATCTAGGTTTTTAGCACCAAATATAAACATACAACTAAACACTAAGACATCATCAACATAGATCAGGCGTCTCTTCTATTGCAATTCGCTTTGGTGTAAGCTCATCATTTACTGAAATGTAGCAGATATATTACACAGGCCATATGGCATGACACAGAATTTATCAAAACCATCTGCAGTGCTGAAAATAGTTTTTGGCATGCTTTTATAATCAGCATACAGTAGTCAGGCCTTAAGGGCTGGGCCAACGAATGCTTTCCAATGCATACAGATATTCGTCAGCTGAAGCAGAAAGGCGTTAACGAAGATCACAACATTCACCTGTTTAGAATCTTGGCGAGCCCTAATTCTTTCTGAATATCACCAATGAAGATAATCAAGAACTTTCTAATCATTCCAATCATCAACATCCACTATATTTTTGCTATATCCTAGGAAGACTTCACAGTGATTGTTTTATATTGGATGAGTACAACATGTATCTTTGTGGTCCTATAAACTCATTGGCATATTCAACCTACAAATTACCAATTAAGTTCCTGTCACTAAACTGAATCTGGACTGGTCGCACAACCATCAACTAATGATTCCAGGTGATCTGGCAGGCATGATATAACAGAAGCAACTCTAATAATACTGCTAGTTCCATCCAGTTCTATTTTGTTCATAATCACAGTGCCATTCCAACAGGATTCTAAATAACCATGTGTCTATACATATGGAACAACACTGGGACAATAGTATAATTCATACAGATAAATGCTTAAGTCTGCTATGTAACAGTATATTAAACGTGTTGGTTCTATCACCACAGCAGACTTAGTCTATTGCACACCATGAAATACCACTTGTGTGTTTGGACATTCTTTGACTCCAACCTTAATAAGTACTATACAGTTATAGCTATACCTTATCTGGCCAGTTTTAGATGTTATCGTTTTTTTCTATAGAAATGCAGTTCATCTGTTGCACAAGTCAAAAGCAATGATAGTTTCTGTAGTAAATCCAACTCCAAGATCCCAATATCTGAGTCAAGAGACATCTACCTTTATCTTGTTGGTGACATTACTTAGATTCAGTCACAAGTGCACCTCTCCAGTAACATATATCCAATTATAAATCACAAGAACAAACTCAGTATAAACTGGCCAGAGCTCTGATGGCTCCTGGTATCAATCAGGAACTAAACCTCATGTTTGTGTCCCTTTAACAGCACATAACTAGTACCAGTAAATCCTAAATGAGCTAGACTGACCACCAAATATTTTGTTGACTACTGTGCTCCAGCAGGTTGGGGGCCAAACCTAACCTGGTCTCATTAGTTTCCCAGAGCTAGAGTGGCAGCAGCCATTGTTTGCCTGAGACCCTCCTATATTTACTGAGAGTCTAAAAGAATGGGTAGTTTAATCTATATTGCTGTTGGGCAAGATATGGGTAATAAAATCAGCCTAAAACAAAACTGTATACTCCAGTTTACCTTTCCAAAGCAGCATTTAGGTAGAGGCATTGACAGCATTTGCTATGGCACAACCATTTTGTAAAGCCTGTAGAAACCTTGCCTACTCACTGATACCCAATGTGACTGTGTAGAGATGTTGGGGCATGTTTGCAGCTAAGTAGCCTTTGGTGAAACACAAGCTTCCGTTGATGCAGACATTTCGTGAAGTTGATCCAATCAAAGTAAGGCTACTGCAGAGATCACTGTGGAGTTCCTCTCTTACAACTTGCTTGATGTTTCCACTTTAAACTACTTGTTTCTCAACTAGGTTTATGTTAGACTAAAACACCCAATTTGTCAGGGGAAATGGGGTATAGTTGGTACCCATAGACCCCCATATTAGGACAAAATCTTTGATCCTACTCCGAGGCAGTAGATTAACAAGTTGGCATAGAAAACTTGTGTTCAGGTTCCACATGACTTCAGAGTTCTTAATAACTTACTGTGATCTTAGCAACGAACCTCCCACCTCAAAGAAGTTCTTGCCTGCCCCATAGGTCACCATTTTGTGTTCATTGTTTCTCCTGGCGGTGAGACATCTCCTTCAGCTGGCCACAAGTTAAAACAATGGTTCAGTTGCTTTGATCAGCAACATTTTGGGTGCCCTGTAACAGGAGATAGAGCAGAAAATGTCATACAGAGTTAAAACCAAGTCACTGACTTGACTGAGTTGATGAAAAGAAATTAAAGACAATGTAAAACAATATGAAAAGTAATTTTCCAATACTTACAACACGATCAAATATAAGTATATGAAGATTACAGAAAGTTTTCTTTTTTCTCTCTTGGATCTTACCAGCAGGAATTCAAGGTGAAGATAGAGAGAGCAAAATGTTATATACACAAATCAATAGCGTCATTCTTTCAGCATAGATGCACTACAAATGTTGCTGGTCATCTCATGTGCAAAAGTAAGGAGGATGTAGCATCTAGGCATCAATTAGTAAACTTAGTCACAGATATGTATGTTGCTAGATAAAATACATACAAGTTCAAAACTAGGCCTCCAATAATAAAATCTGAGAGAAATTCCAAAACATGTCTGAGGACACATTCCTTGACTGTGTGTAACTAGCACGTGAAATAAGGTCATTAGTGTGCAAGGAGAATTTGCTGCATTCAAAAGTTCATACATACACTCCAAAAGTATATATTTATGACAAAGTTTGAAAATTCTAAGATAAACTAACATTAACATTTCTAAGTTACAACAGCAACAAGATATGATTCTTTCTCAACCACAATAAGTTGTTCACATATTTATATCACAAATAAACATTGGTGTAGTGAAGGGTCTTCATTGTTTATCAATACTGTTTAAGCTGTCGATATATTCTGTGATGAGTATTGCTTTAGAAAAAGGTATTCACTGTTTGCAAGCATTGTGTTGGCTGTTTATATTTCTGTCATAAATGTGTGGTTTGTTTTGAATTTTTCACAAAGTTTTTCGCAAAGCTACATGAGGGCTATTTGCGCTAGTCATCCCTAATTTAGCAGTGACAGACTAGAAGGAAGGCAACTAGTCTACCACTCACCTCAAACTCTTAGGTTACTCTTTTATCAAACTGCGATTGACCATCACAATATAACACTCCCACGGGAGCATGTTCGGTGACAGGGATTCGAACCTGCGATCTGCCGATTTCGAGTTGAGTATCCTAACCACCAGACCCATAAGTGTGTGACGACAGAAAATATATTATTCTTCTATACATGTTCAGGTAAAGTTTTTCTCAATTTTCCTACAGATGTATTGCACATAGTTACGACCTCCTTTAAGGCATACTTGGAAAGGCTGTAAATTTACATTAATTCTCTACCTTACACAAATGTTACATACAACAATGACTGTTCCACAGACATGCCCTCTTGAAGTAAGGTCATACTCACTTTAAGTAAGAGTTGTTAGTTTATCTCCCTTTAATACATGTATCGGAATGATAATATAAGTGGGTAATCTATGGATTGTGAGATACTGCAATAATATCTTGTTCTGCTCTCTGCCCCAGTAACCATTTGCAGTTTTTAACACTAGAAATACAAGCCAGCCAGTTAAGCTGTTTGTACACCAGTTTGTTTGTTATTGAGCATAAATATACACAATAGATTAGCAGTGTTGTGCCCACCACGAGTAACAAGACCAGTTTTTAACAGTGTGAGCCCTCACACTTACTGTTGAGCCATTGGAAGGGGAAGTACAACATAATTTGTTTAACTTTTCTATCTGTAATTGGAATTATTCTCTACATATTTATGGAACTGCACTTTGTGGATACTTGTAACTAGTGGGGTAGACAAACTTTTAAAGTCGCCTGAACACCACCAAGGCTTGTTCGTTTTGAATTTCGAGCAAAGCTACACAAGGACTATCTGTGCTAGCCGTCCCTAATTTAGCAGTGTTAGACTAGAGGGAAGGCAGCTAGTCATCACCATCCACCGCCAACTTTTTTACCAAGGAATAGTGGGATTGAGTGTCACATTATAACACCCCCATAGCTGAAAGGGGCGAGCATGTTTGGTGGGACGGGGATTCGAACCCGCGACCCTCAGATTGCGAGTAGAGCACCCTAACCACCTGGCCACCACCAAGCATGCTCACATTGTAGACAGCATTTTGGCCTAGTCCTTTCGAGTTTTGGGGCAAATAAATACATAAGGTTCTGAATTTTATAAATAACTAGACAGGTTACCGGTTCGATGCATTTAACCTTATAAATTCAATAAAAACACTAAATTACACACTAAAGCATGATTCCGTCAGCTCGTTGATTTTAACTTGAAAGTGTAATTATAGATAGCTGTGTACTATGTATCAACACAAATTTTTCTTCAATAACTAACTTCTGTCATATTCTGGCTGCTTATTGTATTACACCACGATAAGGTCTAACAGCCATTTTAACCTAGTTTGTTTTCGGCGAGTAAACAAGTACAAGTTTCTACAGTGGCTTACTTGACAATTATTTTGTACACAAGCAGGTGAGTAAATCGTTCTTAATTATTACCGAACATATTATAAGTTGATATAACATTGACATGGATAATGTTTACAATTAGAGATAGAAAATAGCTCGCTTTTAAAGTAACGTTTAATTACTTGTCAGGATTTGGTGACCTGTCATCGTTCAGTGGCAAAGATGCTGGTTTTGAAAGATGCATCCGATTGATATTTTGTGCATCTGTTCTTTCAAAGATGTCCACCATTGCCAGTGGCTCAACTTTACGTCACTGCTATGCTATTTGGTGCACCAATGGAGACTACACGTTACAGAAGTGGAGGCCAAGTTTATGTGATGAACATGAGGCAAATCAGAACTCGAGTGTGTATTCATGCAAACCATCCTTAGAAATTAGTCATAGTTTAGTGTTAGTAGCACACTATATTAAAAGTGTTGATCATTTTACTGTCTAGCATGATTATGGCACATTGTATATATATGAACTATTACTTTCAGTTCTACTTTCCAACAAAGAGACCCCGAAGGACGATACAGATGGCTGAAAGTACTGAGACGAGCAGAGCCTCAAGTCACTCGAATCAAGCAAGGATCACTCAGAGCACTTTGTAGAAGGTCCGCCAACTAAAGAACATCCAGGTCCAGAAATCAATATAGGTCAAAGTAGGAAGAGGCCAGATACAGGAAAGTCAGGTGGAGAACGAAGCAAAACGAGAGTTAAGATAGCTGAAACACAAGCCAATCAAGGACAATGTAACAGTACACATTATGTGGCAGAAGCGAAGGCAGATAATGGCAGTCTAGTCACTCCAGATCCATTCTTGACATCGGGAGTAATATATATATTATCTTGGCTGTCATTTGAATAGTTAGGGCTGAAAATCAGACACTCAAGATGGAGAATCCAGAGTCGAGACATCACGTAGTTTATCTCAAGAAAAGTTAAAGGAAAAATAACGTACTTAAAAATCACCTGACATTTATTCATCGTTGCTCAAGAGCGAATCAGATACAGGATTCGATTCTGAGGGATAAGTGGTTGTATTGCTAGTGTATTAACAGCAAACGAATGACAAACGGAGTTTGTTTACTCGCAAACAGGTCAGAGCCTCGTTTTGATTTAATCAGGTTGCGCCACATAAGGCAAATTATGTCTGCATGTTTACGAACACTTTTATCAAAACGTATTTTTTTCTCCAGAATTGTTGGTACTAATTCAAGAAGTTGAAAGCAGTTTTTTTTTTATGAGGAATTTGAATGGAATACAATTAGTTATTCAATATATATTTTTCTGGATTTCAAGAATAGTTTCTCTAGGTATTATATCACAAACTTAAAACTTACAAGTCTCTGATACAGTCTTTAAAGTGTGTAAAGTCAATTTCTAGTCACACAGACCACATAATCACAACTATGTAGTTTTTATAAGGGGATATTTATTACTAATGTCAAGCAACTAAATTCACAATACATTCAATAACATCACAACATATTAGACCACATAAAACTTTAGAACACGAAAAGTTTAACTTGAATATCTATTTACATACCGTTTTATTCAAGGATAGGTAACAAACTTAAACTTAAGAATGAGTTACATCTACAATGTTTACTTGAAACATTATAATTTAATACACATGAACAGTAAAAGCTAACAAGAATTCTGAATAAGACCTAAAATTTTTTATCATAAATTCATGAAAGACATTCAGGATCAGGATTTAACTAAAGTTCACATATAACACCGATTCAATTAAAAATGCCCACATAAAACTAATCCAAGTATATTAGAAACAAACCTTGATATACAAACGTTTATATACAGAGTGTGATAAGTTTAGGAATGAAAAATTCTGAAATTCCTTGGTTCTAGTTCCACTAACTTACTTAAGCAGAGTTTACTGGTACAAAAATTTAACGAATGATTCAAACATTTAATTGAGGTTCCTTATGTTGGCTGAAATGGTTCCACTTTCTCCTTTGCAAAAGTAATTCTTCAACACAAAGAACCAAAGTTGCTACAAATGAGTCTCTTACCAAACAGGTACACATGTTAACAATAATAATACATTTCTACAACATTTTTAATCTCTTCATAACTAGATGTGCATACATTAGGTACACTGAAGTAAACAATTAACACAAAATGCTTCTCTGTATTACTAATTTGTTGTTAGTATGTTACTAATACACAAAAGGTTTAGTTGGAAGAAAGCACCTTAAGATGTGGGTATGTCTCAAACATATGTGATTAAAGAATTTTCTGAAATTTATTTTCTAAACTAATAAATCATGTCCCTCACATAAAATTGTATTTTAATCTCTCTCTTTCTTTGAAATGCAAGGATTTTTAGGTCTAGGAAATACCTCATTATTGTTTGGACAATAAATGGGAAAATAGAAAAATGCATAATGCTTTAGTTACTGGATAAAACTATTATTTATATATTTTTTTGTCCCAAAACGTTTCTGGCAAGTGGGTAGGCAACATTCTCTCTCAGACACAGTTGAAACAAAAATATTAATTTCATTGTATGATAACATTGTGCTAATTTTTATAACCTGTTGAAAACATCACAATAGAACAAAAACAGATTCATATACAGCTACTGCCATCTATTTTCAATTTAATTCATATGCAAAGATAGCTCAAGTAACAATCATACCAGCAATGCTGGAAATTGATCTAACTTAAGGTGTTTATTGAAAACACAATGAGATAGTTTTAACAACAACTTTTTTTCAGTATGTTTTATTTTGTTTTCTTAAATATTTGTGGAAAGACATGAAACTGAATGTAGTTCAAATAATACAATGTGTTTGTAAATTGAAAGTATCAAATCACTCAAGTGCTTGAGGTTGAAACTTTAGATTCTCTAATTCATTATATATCCATTTCTTTTTTGTCATATTCCACACTACATGGAAGATATTATACAATCTTCACGAGAACTAATGGGCTCTTTTTTGAACTAACGGGCCATTTACGACTAGCTAGAAAGAAAAGAGCACTATCTTAGCATGCTATTACCAGTCATGTGTTTAGACACCAATAGTCTCTAACCTGTCATAAATGTTATTAGCAATGTGTGTCAGTTACTAAGATCATGATGAAATGACTTGTTTTATTATCACAATCTTTCAATAACTTTCGTCAATTAATCTGATGTTTCAAATCAAATAACTATGTTAATGAATGGCTTCTATTTCACATCTTATCATGTGTTAAAACATCTAAAATATTACAACAATTAGCACTAGTCTAGCTTATATAGTTATACAATATATATGCCAGGATACTAATGAACAAACTACAAGTAAGTAAAACTTTTATTATGACTACAAACTGAAATAAAAGTAATACACATGATTAAACTAAGTTTCTTTTAATATCAAAGTAAACGGTTACCAATTATGCTTGAATAACATTTTCAGACTCAAACGTGTTTTTAACATGAGAGTGAAAATACAAAACCCGTGATTCAATTATTTAGTTAGTTGTCAAATATGAAACTTGCACAATTACACAAATAATTAATACTGCATGACAAGGAGAAAAAAGAATTGTTAACATTTCAGCCAAATGATGGTCATAAATACAGTTAAAGACCAAAATATGGCCTTTTAAAGCAATTTTAATTTCAGTTTGCTACAATGAAGTTGGAAGAAGATTCAAAATTTAAATCCTCAGTCACTGTTTTGAAATAGTACCAACATGGTTAGAATTCCCAAACTTATCACAAGATCTCTGAGATAAAGCAATGATAAAGGCAAGAGTAAAAGGGTAAGAAGTGATATCGATATGAAGACCTATATCACTGAAGATATTTGAATTTGAAATAGAGGCTAATAATCAATTATTCTACATTATTCAGCATAAATACTGTTTGAAAGATTCTACTTTTTTTCCTATTAACAAAACTAATAATAAAATTACAATCATTTGACTTGAGGCTAGGTTTGGGAAGTTATATTTATAATAACACTCTATAGATAATAGTATGACAAGTAAAAATAAGCTAGAACTACTTTATTACATGCAAATGTAATAGTTATTTTAAGGTACATTTTACAACTTTTAAGGTTCCAAAGACACAAAATACTGTAATTCATTTAAAAAATTGAATACTTAGATTGTATGACGCATGAAAATCAACAATATGCTTCCAAAATGTTGATAGAAAATGTATTTCAAAGAGAATATTGCATATATCATACCTCCTCATAAAAATCACCTTTAGGAGTTACCTTTCACAATTGTCTTTCATGGCACAAAATAACACATTTCTGATTAACAATCAAGGTGACAGGCCAGCAGTGACTACTGCCAGGCCAAACCTGGGACACGGCTAATCAAATTGGTATTTTACTGTAACGTTCATCACAGTCAAACTACATTCTTAATTAATAAAGGCTCACATTAAAGCACTAGGTGTTTTATTGTTATGAAAAATGTCTGCTCTTGTATTTTAAGTGACATTTTCCTTGTCTATAACTTATATGGCCTTACCAAGTGGTCTATTGTCTGTCTGATTAGGTCAAGGAGTCAAAACCTCTAGAGGAAAAATTTGGTTGATGGATGACCCCCTAATGTTTAATCAGTCTTCTCCTCAAACACTGTTCGTGCTAGATAGTTTTGTTGTGTCATTTTACTTGAAACTTTATAAAAATTGCAGACACTGGTGTATAAGATGTATATAAAAAAGTGAACAAAGAGATTTTATTCCACATGACAAAGAAATTTGATAATGTTCAGATCATATGCTATGTAAATAGCTGGAAAAAACATTTTATTTGAATCAGGTGGAAGGACCAAGAAACTATCACAAGTAACAGTGGCACATTTTCTTCCTGACAAAAAAAAAACTACCACCAGTTAAAAATGCTTTTATTGGCTAAAGCCACTCAACCTTTTGAAATATTAATCTTAGAACTTCTAGTCTCTTGTGGAAGATAAAGTAAGGTTTGGCCAAAGAGCAATGCAGAGCTTGTTCTCATTGGATAACCAAGTTGTCATCCCTCTCTAACTAGTGGTTCTGTTATGAACCCTTCCATGCAATTCAATAAAATGCCACCTTCATGTTTAGGTTTATTGGATCCAATTCAGAATATTCTTATAGTTCCTAATGCACTGGTGAAGAGGCTTGAAATTGGACTAAGGAATGAATATTTATAGGTAATGTGACCCCCTTAGAGTCAATGCTGACCTAAACCTTTCTTCTCAGTTTTCAGTAATTACATTATTTCTCATGCTCATGGACAAAGATGAAGGTTATATGCTGAGGAAAGTAGTCTTGCAGAATGAAAACATATCCTATCCTTTAGAGTTAAAATAAAGTGCTTGTTTGCACTATACACACAGTGTTTCATTTGAGTATTGTTTAGATTTATCTAGAATGTAAAGGGTAAGTTAGATTTGATTTTTTCTATAGCAAACAAAGAATATTACTTTCCTGCAAAGAAGAGCATTTTTCCAGGTTTCCTCCCTCCAGTCAAAAACATAAATGTTAACTTTGCTTGTCTTCCAAGTGTGTTTTATGGAACACTCAAGGAATACCAGGAAAATTACAACTAAAACAAGACTCAAAAATAGTTTTTTGGCAAAAGGTCTATTAATGGGCAATTCAGGCTGACTTTTTTTACTAGGAACAACACTGGGTATTAGGATTTTAAATCCTACCATCTTGATTTACATGAAACTTATACGAGATCTGCATATAATTAAATCCTAAGAAGAATAAAGACATGCTTGTTTCAGAATTTATCTAAATCTACACAAAAGGCTATCTTCACATATCTGTCCATAATTTTGAACCACAGAGAAGGCACCTAGTCAATAGCACTCACTGCAAACTCTTAGCCTATTCTTCTCCGATTTAATATTGAGAGCAGACACCTATAATCCCAAAGGACATTTTTGTACCAATGGCTTGTGAACCACGAATCCCCAGATTCACAGTCCACTAACCACTAGGCTATACATGGCCCAAAAGTACCAAAAAGAACAAAAATTTCAAAGGACTTTAACATTTGAATTGATGAAACTTATGAACAATTATCATACAAATGAAAATGCATGGGAAATATTAAAACTCAAATGGCTTTTCATGCCTATGTGTTATAAGTTATTCATACTTCCATTGATGGTCCAACTCACTTTAATTGGCTAAGAACTGGAAGTAACAACATATGGTGTAATTACAATATTAAATAATCTTAAAATTAGATATTGTATGATCCTGTGGCAATTATACTATATTTGATTTCAAGTAAAAAAAAACCTAAACCTTACTCTAACAAAACATTTTACAAAGACGAAACCTGATTTTAAGAAAACATTTTACAAAGCTGAAACCTGAAGAAGAAAATGTTTAAATAATAAGTTTCTCTTTTCAATTGTTTTTGAAATGTGAATTCTGTTGCCAGTAGTTGAGATGCTACAAACTATCAAACAGGTGGCAGTAAGGTCCATATCTTTACATGTTTGTTCAATTTTGTGAAAAGGTACTTAAGGACTATCTGTGCTAGCCATACCCAACTTAGAATTGATAGACTAGAGGAAAGGCAGCTAGTTGCCACCAGCTCTTGGGCTACACTAATCAAAGACTGGGATTTGACTGTCACACTTATCTGATGGCCCCAAAAAGTAAAGTGTGATTTTTCTGGGTGATAACAGCTCCTAAACCATCATGCTAAACACTGGACCATGCTTGCCGGTCTATACAAATTATAACATTGCACACAGTTGCACTGTAAATGAGAGAAGAGAAGTTTTAAGAGGAGAGAGCATAACTGTAATATTTTAATTTCATTATGATTTGATATATAACCATTTAAAACCTATCTTCACTAATGATAACATATCACAAATAAATATTTTCACACTTCAGTATTACATGAATGAAATGGTGTTCATATAATTTCAACCAGAGTTGGTAAATATGTAAGATAAAAATGTTTCACTATACTGCTCAATGCTAGATAATTCATGTGGTTTAAAGTACATGGCCGTACCGACATGTCTGTGTTTATGAGATATCAAATGCTTTTTGCAGTCAGGAATGCTGGTGCCTGCTGAATGTAGAAGGCTAATTGACTGCCGAGTAGTGTATAAATAATGAGTAATAACAAAATCTACTTTATGCTATAAAACAAACAGGTCTATTAAAACTGACTACCGTTAACTGTATAGGAGAATGATACGGACTTACACTGGAAGCCAGCTTATAAAACAATAAAGATGCAAGTAACAAAATTAAGCATCCATATTTTAATGCCAATACACCTCTCAGATAAACTTCTGCACGACATATATTATGGTAAGAAGAATAAATTATATTTTAAATCCCAACACACAAATTGTTAAATTTTTTGTAAGTATTAAAAGTAGCAACCAATTCTATTGCAACAAAAAGTTTCTCTATTAGGGGCTAAAAGGTTTTACATTGACAACAAAGTTATGGGGTTGAATTTCCCATAATGTGTATGGATGTATAATCCCTTGATGTATATGACCTATACAGTATGTTAAAAGGTTCCCTAAAATTTTTAGCTTTAGACACCCTGGTTGAGGACCCACACCTAATGATTTTTTATACATTTCAAATAATAACCACTCTATGGTATGTTACTTTTATTGCAGTCTGTCTTTGAAAAAAAAATTTATATAGTTATATTTATTGCAATAAATTTCTTGCTGAATATAATGGTGTCAGGAAAGTTTTAAAAGAGAACATTTCTACATGTGTTACATCGCCTTTCAGACTGTCTCATGGACCACTACAATATGCTATACACATAGTTAAACTTTGAACACAGGATAAAAGTGTCATGTGATAATAATTTGTAGTTATGCATGTTTTAAGGTCCAACATCTTGGAAAGCCAGCTTCATCATCATATTGACATCATCACACCACATACACATTATTAGTGTTTAGTAAGTTATTGAAAAAGAGTGTCAATCACCGAGTGATATCAGTACTTTTTGTAGGCTTTGATATATATATAGTCCTTTACTCATCATTAATAACAAAATACTTAATTATTAAACATCATTCAGTGGACTAGCTGGTAATTTATTTGTAAATGACATAAGAGGCCCAATCTATTCTTTGATTTGTTGCTGTCTCTGCAGGATATCAAACAGATTGGTCCATTACCTCATTCATGGATTCTTTCTTCCTTACTGATATCCTCACAGATATCAGAATTCGTTAGATCATTTTCAGTTTAAGATAAAATAAAAGATATCACTTTTTAACTGATGGGCAATGACTAATTGTTATTTTGTGCCTTATTTAACTTTATTTCTGGAGTAAAACAAACATTAGTTTTGAGAATGCTATTTTTTAGAAAGTTCTTTTAAATTGTGTAAATGTAACTATTTTGTTATACAGTTATTTACTTGTATAACTATTATAATCACCTTTATTTTAATAAATTTCTTATTATTCAAATAATTTAAAGAATATTATATCAAAAAGATGGTAAATATCAACCTTAGAATTATCAGCAGAGAAAAATTAAAATTGCAAGATGTAATATTTAAGATTAAACAAACCCTACTATAGTGTAAATCTGAACCACAAAAGTCTGTAAATACATAATTTTTTAGACTTGCAGCACATTCGACATAATTAACAAGAGATCTTAGTTGGTGTGGCCTGGAAAAATGAAAACAAAATCATTACACCAATATTTGTCCAGAATCTTAATTCTAAAAATCTCCATCTGTTGGTAGTCTCAAAAAGCTCTTTATTATTATCATTGTTTTTATTAAAATATCAATGTGATGAATGAGGATCACATTGTAACAACCTTACAATAGATGGGTCACTTTTGGCTCCTTCAATAAATTCTTCTAGTGACAATTTCCCATCCATATTTTTATCCATTTGACGGAATATCTTGTCTGTCCGTTTCTCGGGTGTTGACTCGTCTTCTGGCATCTTCATTACTGAGCCAACCATTTTGTAAATAGCCTAAATTCGAACAAAATAAGTCAAAAATTTTTTGCAATATACTACTCCTAATGAAATATATTATGATTATATCGTAGCTTAATCAATTTGTAATATTATGCTTTATTAAGCGTGCAGTAGTCATTTAAACTGAGTCATCATCTTTACTGAACATTAATGAGAACTAAACTTCTCTGAAAAAAGTTAGTATATACAATACTATAACAAAAAACATCAGACATCTATTTTACTACCAGATGTAGGTTGTAGCCGTATATGTATATATATAGATAGATAGATATAAGGCCCAAACAGATACTATGGAAAGCAACTTGTAAAAGTATAAAGGAAATTAATATTTTCAATCTCTTATCTTTCTTGAAATTCTAGAACTTTCTACCAATCAAATGAAAATGCTAAATTCCAAGAAAAAATAAAAATAAAGCTGCTTTTGATAACATTATTTACCACCAGAGATGTAGTCAAGACTGGGTGGATGACACCAAGACCGAGAACAATATAGTTTTTTTATACGACCAAAAATTCAAAACGTAAACTAATTATTCGTGTTGTAGTTCTTTTTATTTAAAAATGTTGTTTACATTATAAGATTCTTTGCATAAAAAACATACTGATCTTGATCTCGATCACCTGGCCTTTGACTACATCTCTTCTCACCACTGATGAGAGCTGAAATAGTTTAAAACTATGGCACTTTTTTAAAAACTTTCTTTTTCTATCTTTCACTTATGTATCTCATCCAGTGTAGTTTTTTTTATTTTAGTGGTCAAAGCATTTACTTCATAACTTTTGAAATTAAATTTTTAATTGGATTGCACTTTCATAATTCATTGACAAACTATATAATTGATATACACTTAATATTTAGTGTGTATAGCAAAATTATGATGCAATGCTTGTGATGGAATTTTAATGAATTTAATCAGTGGCATAAGAACTTTTTGCTATGGAGATCAATTTTCAAACCTGAAACTGTGAGATATCACCCGCATAACTTGTATTTTTGGCAAAGATACTAAGACTATCTTCTGTCATCCCTAATTTTGAATTATTGACTACCAAAAAGTCAGCCAGTCAGCAGCAGCCTGCAACCCATGCTATGGGATTGGTTTTTGCTCTTGTAACAAACCCACAACTTAAAATTCAATGAATATTTTGTGATATGGCGTGGAATAAAACCCAGTTTGCCAACTCTGAAATCCAGAATTCTACTAAAGGGCCAACTTTGTGGCCCCTAACACATGAAGTGTATTGTTATTACATAACTAGTGATAATAAACATTTTTTTTTTCTTTTTACTGTTTAGAAATGAAAACTTAGAATCTAAATACAAATGTTATTTTGGGTCCCCATAGGAACTGCTCTACTTAAGCATGTCTGCTGCCACTCCTGCTTTCTCTATACAAATTTAGGGGGAACAATTGCTCCTCTGGTTCCTGTGATACTGAATTAAGTCACTTAAAATCTCTCTATAAAAATAAATTTGTGAATAACCATTTTATCAAGTTTCAATTTATTAATACACCTATTTTTTGCTTGATATATTAGGTAAGATGCATATTGGTTACAGTTGATTTTTTTTACTTACATACACACATACTTTTCTACATAGATATAGCCATAAATAATTACAATTCACTTGGCTGAAAAGTAAATGACCTTATTGCATTATAAAATTCTAAATACAAGTGATTTCTTACCGATACAATTTCCAACATTTCTTGTCGTGAAATATACCCATTTCCATCAAGATCATACATGCTAAATGCCCATTTAAGTTTTTGCTCTAACTTTCCTCGAGATGTCACACTAAGGGCACAAAGGAATTCTCTAAAATCTATTGTCCCATCACCATTAGCATCAAATGTGCGAAATACATGCTCTGCAAATTTAGATGCATCTCCATATGGAAAAAAGTTTCCATAAATTTTCTTGAATTCTTCATTAGACAGATTTCCACTCGGACAGTCTTTTAAAAATCCTCTGTACCATTCTTGGATTTCAGAATCAGTAAATTCAGTATTTTGGCGAAGATCTTCTAGAACTTCTGGTTTCAATTTACTGTTTTGTTTCCCCATATCTCTTCACGACTTCAGGAAATAACTCACAGACTTGAATTCTTTTCAGCTCAAAATCTTTCAAATTCCTAAGAATGGAATTTTTTTAGTTTATAAAGACATAAAATAAGAGAGAAATTGTATACCACTTTACGGGCTACTAATATAAAATGAAGAAAAAAAAATTTACAAGTTTGTCATTTGATCATTTTATGGTTATCTAGTATACATAGCCTGCATCATCAATCCTAATGTACATTTATAGCAAAAACAAAGTGTGTGAAACAACTAGGCATATTCCAATTTTAACAATTACAAAAAATGTAATAAAATATACCCTTTTTGTGGACAAACTAAATTAGTATTACAACACACCTGATAAATTATAAAACCTGATGTCCAATTCACTTTCATACTAATGCATACAGTTAGCATGTTGCACTATTTCTATGGCTACTGAAAACCAAAATTACTTGTTTTGCTTACTGTCAGACATAAAACACAACTAATTTTATAATCATTATTCTTTGTATTTCTATGCTCTCTTTGAACTTTATCTTAACAAGATATCTTTATGAACTCTATATTAAACATTGAATAAGAAATTTTAGTAAAGCAAACCTGACAGAGAGAAAAAAAAACTTTAAAAACATATACAGTTTTAACTGCTGTTAAGAATTTAAAAATAATACTATATAAAAAACCTTGTGATCTAGTTAATTTTAATAGTGATAATACAGTTGTTCAACTGATAAGCTTTGTAAAGCAATCTTTATGTGCAAGATATATTAATGTAATTAAAAATGCAGTACTACTTTTAGCATAATTTAAAAACATGTTGAACTGTACAAAATATGTGATAAATTAAATATCCATACCTAGAATATAGATGTGTAATAAGTTTCAGGTGAAACAAAATGGGTATAACACACATGTTAATATATATATATATATATATATATATATAAGGATTCTTTACCCTTTAAAATAAATGCTAAATTAACTTTTCCAATATTGGCAAATACCATCTATTCTTCAGAGTAATAAAATAACAATTGTTTCAAATTATCACCTTACAATGAATTAAAAGTTTACAAATTTTTACTTCAATATCTGTCTTTGATTGGGATAGTTGTACAAAGCTACATAAGGGCTACCTGCATTAATTTCGAACTGGTAGACTAGAAGGAAGGCACCCACTTCCAACTCTTGGGCTACTTAATCAAATAGTGGGATTTGGCCTTTACTGCTATAACATACCCATGCCTCCAAAGTATGGGGCATGATTTCTGTGTCAATGGGATGTGAACCATGGATCGACAGTTTGGCACACTAACCACTAGGCCAAACCTGGCCTATTTCAATATCAATGAATTAAGCATTTGTATACAGTTCAGTATGAATTTAACATTAAGAAATCAATGAGTGAATTGAAAAATATAACCTAAAATGGGTTAATTTCCTTTTAAACACAAAATTTCTGAAATGTCTAGTGTTATTTACCAAATATTTAAATAGTCTGGTTATTCGCTATTATAATTTATAGTTCCTCAGAAATATTTTTTAAAAGTAAAGCCAATAAAATAGTTTGGGTTCCTTTGGGATTTGACCTTTACTACTATAACATACCCTGCCTCCAAAGTATGGTGCATGATTTCTGTGTCAATGGGATGCAAACCATGGACCCTTGGATCCACCGTTTGGCACACTAACCACTAGGCCAATCATTTAGATGAATTGCAACCAACTACAGCTCAAAGCTTGTGCATTACCTTATGTATAGAAAGTTATTAATTCTACGTTACTAGTTCTAACATTCAATAATGATGCATACAATTCTACCATGCACACGTCTATTACATTACTGTTACACATATATTGAATTTTACTTGTGATTACATAACAAAAACTTGAATAATGTTATCTTGCTCAGCTGATCACTCAACTTTGAAAGTAAATTTGTTTTGTTGCTATGTGTAAAGTTACACAATGGGATACATGTGCTGTGCCCACCAAAAGTATTAAAACCTGCTGAGGTGTCTTGAAGTACAAAACATTTAGAAGAGTGCAAGTATACTATGTTTAGTTAACACATTTCCTTAGCAGAAAAGAAAACCACAATCACTACTCATACAAAAAAATACACAAGGCAGCTACGTGATTTTGGTACTGATACGTAGGAAAACATTATCCTATAGTCATTATACTTTTAATCAATAAGGCTGAAATGAACCAGTAACCATAACTAAATTTTATGAGATCCAATCGTGAAATCTTTACATTCTACCTTAGTGTGTGTCTGAAGACTACAGGTGTCCTCCAAGTGTTTATTTAAAGAAAGCTGCCAATTTTTTATAGCACTTTTTAACATTTTTATGTAAATATGTGTTTGAAACGAACATGAATAAATGATTAACAAAATCAAGTTTCTTGAAAGATTACACACATACTGTTCCAAGTTTAAAAATAATTTTAATGTGGACTTTTAAGATAAAATAACACTTTCTATAATACAAGTGCAGTGATGCTGAAAAAATATGATAACAGTATACTTGAATGCATGTGTGTGTGTGTGTATATATATATATATATATATACTACACACACACACAACCTAACTTATGTACTTACAGTGTGTTAGTTTATTATACTAGTACTAGGTTAGTTAGTATTACGTTGCTACTAGTTAGAGTGACTACCTACCCTAA